CATTCAGGGTCCAGTCGGGTGACAAATGGAACTTAATATAAAAAATTATTAACTAGGTAACTTGCAGGTAGCAACTGCAGGAAGCAGCTACCACCATTAGACCAGGAGAACAAAGGGAAAGGTTGGAGTTCTTAGAACTTAGAAGCATTTAGGAGGGGGTCCTTGGAGCTAAATCTTAGATCTCTGCAGGGGAGAGATGCAGGCTGATGCAGGTGTCGCTGAGCTTGAGAAGGGGTCCCATGAGGCTGGGGCAGTCCATTCTGGGTGGGCCTGAACTCCAACATCGCATCAGCACTGTGTGAGCCCCAGAATCTGTTCAGCTCTCAACCGCTCAGCAGCCACTCTGCCGGGCCCCCAAGTCTTGCCCTGCACTTGTGCAGAACAGGGTCAGCCAAAGGCCTAAGACTTCTGAGGTTCCTTTTCTGTGATTCCTCCCTCGTTTGTCTCCTCCATCCCCAAATCCCAGCTGCCTTAGCCCTGGACTCTTCTGACCTGTGATACCTCTATGACCTGCTTGGGCCCCACCGCCCTGAACTGTGGTCTGGAAAGCCTCCCCAGGGAGAAAGCCTGAGTAGATGTGGGTCACATTGTGTGCCTCCTCACCTCTCAAGGAACACAGCCCTGCATTGGGACACTGTCCAGTGTCTGCCCACAGTTGTGTAATTTGTTATTTATTTTGTGCAGGTTCCATAGTTGTTTACAGCAGGAGGGCAAATCCTCTATCATTCCTTTATGGCTGCTCAGCCTCTGAGTTCCCATCTTTGCAGAGCTCTACATCCTGGTACACTCCCTCATGCATAGTATTGAAGTGAAATCTGCCCCCTTCCCACCTCCCCGTACACCCCACTCCTCATTCATGGGGCTTCCCTTGAGAAATCCACCTCTGTCTGTGCTCTGGAACAGACCCCCAGAGTCTAGTGACAGGGATCTCCTGTTCCCGTAGCCTGGAAGAGGGCCTCCTATGAGTCTAACTGTTAAGCTTGAGATTCAAAGCCACAGCCTGTTTGAGGATAGGTCTCTGCTCAGTTGAACTGTCCTCTTCCCATCTGTGTGATCACAGGAGGAATGAATGGGTTGGGATGTGCACATGCACTTCGGCAACTGCTGGGTGTGCGTGCATCCGCTCTAGGGGGAGCATTACCTAGCGCCCCCCCCCCCAGCTCTCTTTGTGCTCAGGCTGCAAGCAGAGGAGTTAGAAAATCACACCTATTCTTGCTGCTTAATTACTTGCCCGGGTGCATGGGATCTTACCACCTGCCAGACAACAGAGGCCCCTCAACTCCCTTCCCCGCTGGGAGAATTAGTCCCCACTTTTTTCCCATCATCCATGAGGCCCACAGGGGGGGCCCACACTGTTAACTGGCGCTCTAGGAAAGAGGAAAAAACTAACGTATCTGCTGGGCGATGGGCTTGCAGGCAATTCTAAAAGGAAACAGACACTGCTGATCACCTTCAAAGCTTTGAAATGTTTTCTTCACCCAGATACTCAGACTTTTATGCTACAGGCTTAGTGCTGGAAAATGAGCCTTCTGCTTTAATTCTCAGAGTCATTATGCATACATAATGCTCTTCCTACCATTCAAAAGGAATGTAGATCATATGTAAATATGCCGTTGTGCAATAGTGTATCCCAACCTGCGTTATGCATACATTAATTTCATAATAATGACATCACTCAGTTACTACTCCCTCAATGTTTGCATAAAAAGCAGGCAAATCATTCCTACACACATTTATTTGCCAGTCATGACCATGTTTTGTCCAGTCTGGGTCTCAGGGTCAGGCACTGTACTATGGGAATGGTGGCTCATTTTGAGGAACTTAAAGATGATCTCACCCAACCCTCAATGCTTTGATCCCCTCCACACTCCTTGCCATGACTTGTCCTTGATGTCCTCCATTGGCAGGGAGCTCACTACCTCTGGAGCAGCCTATTCTCTCTTTGGACATCCATGAACCATTAGAAAGTTTGAACTTACTATGAAGGACATCCCTGAAAAGCAGTATGGAGTTTATCGCTTTTGTTTTCAAATCTTGCTTCATTCATTTAACATTGTACGTATTTCCTTCACACCAAGCAATCTTAAATTTTTGCATGTACACATTCACATATTTACAAATTTGCCACCACGCTAAATGTGCATTTTATAATTGCTATATCACTAAACAATATATTATAAACATCTTTTCATATCAATTAACCTACATCTCCTTCCTTATTTTCAATGCCTACATAATCTTTAATAGTGGGATGTACCGTAATTTATTTATTAATTTCCTGTCAGTGGGCATTTAGGCTGTTCCCAGTTTTTTGCCATAGCCACCAACTCCAAGATAAAATCTTCACACATAGTAATTATTTCCTTATTAGAGATTCATAGAAGAGCACACAGGATCAAGGGGTGTGAGCTCTTTAAAAGGCCATTCCAGATAAAGACAGCAGCCTCCTGGTTGAAAGTAATGGTTAATAAGTACAGAGACCTATGCTGAGCGCTTTACCAACACCGTTAAATTTCTTCCTCACCACCATCCCACCGCTCCCCTGTGGTGTCTGACCGTCCCTGCTCTATGTGGCTAATAGTAAGGTAAAAGCCAGAGCAGACCAGGCAGGCGGCCCTCCTCTGAATAGCACATAAAGTGGCATCTGAAGGGGCTCCCTTCTGGCAATAAGGACATCCCCTGGAAGACTAAAAACTGGGAAAGAACTGGGCTTGAAAAGCAAAATAAACACCACCCAAGAGTGCTGTAGCTGGTCTTCCCAGGCTCCAAGAGGCTTTCTTCATCTCTAGGAGATCATCAAAGAAAAAAAAAAAAATAGCACGGGCAAATGAGGGTCAGTAGGTGAAGGCAGGGCAAGTTTCTCATAAAGCCTGGCCAGGGAGTCCCTCCCTCCACCCATTGTCTTCATCCCACACATCAAACTCCAGCAATCAGGTCTTAGGTTTCTTGTCTGGGCTGCCTGCCAGGACTGGGGCAGGGATGGGGTGCACAGAGCCTGCCCCAGAGCCAGCATAGGGGACACATGAGTAACTGACTGCAGGAGCCTGCGTCTTTCCAGCGTGCATTCCCCACTAAGCCACAGGTACTGTGACACTTACACAAAGACTTCATCAGAGCATTATTTGCTGTAACAAAAGGATGGGAAAAAAACTGGTTAAAAAACTGGAATTTTTCTGTAACTAAGTACTGTGCAAAGTCAAAAAGCCCAAGGACACTCCACATGAACTCCAAAATATATATCAGCGTATCTCATCACAGCGAAGTCACTGTTGACCAGGAGATACACCATGATTTTACGGAGCATTAAGAAACACACACACAGCTAATTAATCTATGCTTCCATGGATTGTACGAGAAACCTGATTTCAGAGATAAGAGGTAGGGAAACTATGTGAAATACTGTGGGTGGAAAAACCAAGTGCAGAGTAATGTGTAGGCACACTACTCTGTGTATTTTAAAGGGATGGGCTAACCAATCATACGTGCTTTTACGGGCATAGACAATTCCTGAAAAGATACACAGGAACCTGATAGCAAGAGTGGCCTTTGGAAGCCAGGTTGGAGGTTCGGGATAAAAGGTGGGAGTAAAACCCTCTTTTCATCGTTACATCTATTTGTAAAATCTGAAATTTTATATCATATATTCCCTTTTAAACATAAAACTCTGAAAACTACTGAATGCAAAATAAAACAGCGCATCCTTCTGGGAGGATTAAGGGGCACAATATTGGGGGCCAGCCTTGGATCTGGAGACTGGACATCCAGTCCTGACTCTAGCGCAGCGACCTCGGGCAAGTGCCCGCCCGACTGGGTCTGGGTTTGCCCACGAGCCTAATCGGATGTCGGAAAGCGGGTCTCGGGACGTCCCTCCAGCTGGGGCAGCCGTCTGCGGGCGTCCCGCGGTGCAGGCCCGGCCAATCAGCGGCCGCGGGGCGGGAGGGGTGGCTGCGCCGCGCGCACCGAGCGGAGCGCCAGGCAGAGGCTCCGCTGCCGTC